CTCCGGTGTATGTAGCTGGTGCCTAGTCGCTTGAGCTATAGGCACCAAGCCAGTTTTTACCCTCTTTGCAAATGATGTGACAAAAAAGCAGAGAAGCCGAAGGAGTTGCTCAAATTACAAAGCAAGTGAGGGAGCACACTCCCATTGAGTTATCTATTTCATTTGCTAAATTTGATTCTTGCAAATTCAAGTCCTGTGTGGTTAAAATTTGAACTATTTAGTAGCCAAAGACTACTTTCTACTTGATAAAAAGAGAACATTTATATTTTCCTTTTAAGCTCAAGAAGTCATCCATAGAGAAGCATCCTGGATATAAAAGATGGAAGACATTTTGTCTATTGCCCCAAATATCAGTCTTTTTCTTTATTCTAGGTCTCTTGGTTGAGTTTCTGTGGCATTACAACCCCTGGCAAATCATCCTCACATATATGATGAGTGCATTCCCAGCTGATTTGGAATAGGACACTATCTACAGCCGTGACATAATTTTCCAAGTGTATTTTTTTTTTTTTTTTTGAGACAGAGTCTCACCATGTTGCCCTTGGTAGAGTGCTGTGGTGTCACAGCTCACAGCAACCTCAAACTCTTGGGCTTAAGTGATTCTCTTGCCTCAGCCTTCCAAGTAGCTGAGACTATAGGTGCCCACCACAATGTCTTGCTATTTTTTGGTTGTAGTTGTCATTGTTGTTTGGCTGGATTCAAACCTGCTAACTCTGGGTATGTGGCTGATGCCATCAGGCAATCTATTCCTTTTGAGGCTTTACATTCTTGTTTTTTAGATTTTGTTTTTAGTAATATGCTTCAGTATTTTCCCGTTCATTATCTGTAAAGTGAAAAGTGTTCTCTCCCAGGTGTAAGAAACAACCTTTAATGTCCCCTTTTATATTAGGTAAATAGGGTATCTCATAAGTTCTCAGAGGACTTTGAAGCATACTTTAGCACTCCAGTATAAATTTGGGGTTGGGGGTAAGGTGGTGATTCAGGGTAATTGCTGATTATATATCCTTTGTGGGTAATACCATTTCAGACTCTTTGGATTGTGGGGATGAATGC